GGCTCTGCCCGAGAAGGGAGCCGCGCGCGGGTCACCCGCCGGTGGAGCTCGCTTTGTGCGCTGTGTTTTTCTCGCGCCGTGTAGAGGGTTTTCCTGGGTGGGTCCGTGCCCGAGCGCAGCCGCGCGGGGTTCTGGCTCTCTCTGCTGTCTCTCGCTCGGTGTCTGCGGTGCAGCTGCTCTCAGGTTGCTCCGTGTTTAAGGTCAGGTTGGTGTTCTGCGCTCAGCTTGTCATCGCACACCTCTGTCTGCAGAGCTCTTTGGAGGGCCTGGAACGAGTGGCTTGCAGTGCCAGGCAGTGAGCTCTGCAAAGACACGTTTTGGGGACAAGTCAAACGAGAGGGACCAAGAGGAGAAAGTGGATAAAGACACAGAGCTCTGGGGGGAAAGATACAACTGTAAAGGAAGGGTGAAATAAGCTGGAGAGGTCTGAGAGGTCGGTTGTGTAATACAGCCTAAAGCTGATGTTCTGTGCAGATAGGGAGATCCCTAAGTTGCTTTATGCTGGCATGGATTCCTTGGCTCACCAGTGTAAGAATGCTGTGGGAGTTCTTTTGATCTGCCAATGTAAGTTTGACGTAAGAAAGCTGATTCCTAATGTAATGTCTATAAACAGACCTTGAGGTGCTTATTTGTAGACATTCTGATATTTACGTGCACAAGTATTTGGGAAAAACAAAGATTGTCATAAATTACCATTGTCATCTTAAGATTTGGGTTTTTTCCATCCCATTTGGTGTATTTATATATGTGTTGGTGCTGAATCTGTGTGCAAAATTATCTGTATTTAGTAGAATTATTGCTGTAAGCAAAGTAATGCATTTTTCATTTCGAAGTGTTCTGTTTCTGACCTGAATGTTAAATTGTGTTACTTGCAGAGTAATTGCTGTAGAGGAGTGAGTGGGCAGTTAAACTCGTGCACTACAGAAGATGAGGGAGTGGCCATCCACAAACACACAGGTGTAAACCCTCACGTATTTTAGCAGAGACTCCACAAGCGAATGAGAACTTCTTTCTGCAGAACTGAGGTGAAGAACTTCACCATGGGTCAACAAATTTCAAACCACACCCAAACTGTAATTAACAAGTTGCCAGAAAAAGTAGCCAAGCACGCAGCTTTGGTTCAAGAAAGTGGTTTCCTAACCTATGAAGAGTTTCTGGGAAGAGTAGCTGAACTTAATGATGTGTAAGCCTTACTTTGTTTCTTTTTTTTTTTCCTGTGTTTTACAGAGACCTTCTATGCAGTGTGTTAATTATCCTGTACTGGCCAGGCCAGAACTGGATGTATGGTTTTGAAATCTTTTCTTCAGTCCTTGATATTTCTGTAATGGTTATGGTTATACTTCAAAGCCATTTCTCCTTCAATTCACTGTTCTCCAGTATGCTGCTTCCAGCAAGCTTGGCTTTAAGTTCACAAGAGGTAGACATAGAGCAGCATCTTTTTGTTAGTGTTGCCTGTCTCCCTGACTCTCCTGCCTTGCCCCAGCCTCCTGGAGGTGCCGTGCTACCCGTGGCTTTGGGGAGGCAGTGGCAGTAGGAGCCCTGTGAAGGCAGCACAGCTGCCCAAGGAGGGGAGCACCCAGGACAGGACTGTTTGTCTCCATCTCTCCCACCCCTGTGCACACACAGTGCTGGGCCTCATTAAGGATCAGACATGTCTTACTGTCTGGGAGCAATGACCTAGATAATCCTCAACAAAAGGCTGCATAAGTAAGGTTTTTCATAGCCTGCCTTTTGTTTGACTGGTACAGTGGTGGTGAAATGAACTGAAAGCAGAGTTCTCGTTTTTACCCTGTATTTATGGTGTAAAATGAAGTGGGACACACACCCCGAGTAAGGGCTTTGTAGTGTTTGGTGTTCTAAGTGAAATATGAGTTTGTATTCAGTGTAGAAATTGCCTTGTGGCATGTCATACTCTTGTGAGTGACCTTGAAGAACAGGTAGCTGTCTTCTAGGTAGACATACACACAGATTCTGGAGAAGATTACTTGCTGTTTTACCTGAGAATCTAGGCATGTATCGGTGTAGCTAACTCCAGACTATTGTTATTCAAGTGTTTTGCTCTTTACAGCGTTTCCTTAAGCCTGAACATAACCTAGCTCATTCTGATCATGATGGAATAGACTATCTTGTCTGTGTCCCATTAAAGAAACCAACCCCAAGTCCCAAAGTCTCAGGTCACCTGACACTTTCACCTGACTGCTCATGTTAGTATATGCTAACAAAAATGCACCTCATCTGCATATGTTGGTACTTGCAGGCTGGTTTTGATACACGTGGGAGGAAATAACCTCTGTGGACTGGGCAGCACAGTGTGTGATTACTGCGGTCAGCAGTGGGAGCACATAGAAATTAAGATGTCAGTAAAGTACATGTGCTTGCTGCTGCTGGGTCAGAGTAGGTGCACATCAGTTTCTGAAGTGTGCTGTGCAATTTGAAGCGAAACAGACTCTGCATTTTGTTTGATGGCATGCTAAGAAGGTCATTGCTCTTTACTTTCATGTCTGGGCAATATTGCTGAAATCTCTCTAAGGACAAAGAGCAGATAGGTGAACAGAAAGTAATACCCCTGTGGCTGAGACTTGCACGTCTATATGACATAAACTGATGTTTCTTTATTTCAGTACTGCAAAATTGGCTTCTGGACAAGACAAACACCTGTTATTTGAAGTGCAGCCTGGTTCTGATTCTTCTGCTTTCTGGAAGGTGATCGTTCGGATCATATGCACTAAGGTAAGTCGGAAAATTTCAGTCTGATTGGGGATCTGTGTGCAGATGCCTGAGGACTGTCACTGGTAAAATCCAGCACCTGCTACCTCCATTCTGATACAGGTGATGCATTCAAGGATGCTGTGGAGATAATTTAAGTCTAAATTTCTGCAAAAAAGCAAGTTAACATAAACATTTTCATAACTAAGTTTATAAAGGAATTATATCTTTCAGTGGAGCACTTAGTTACAAATTCAGATGATTTGTGAGGTGGAGTAATCAGTGGTACATCAGACTGGGAAACAGCTCGTTTCCTGTAGTTGTGGCAGTCCCGGGCACACCTACAGGTTGGGCAGAGAAGGGATGGAGAGCAGCCCAGTGGAGAAGGACTTGGGGGTGAGGGTTGATGAAAAACTCACCCTGAGCTGCAGCGAGCACTCACAGCCCAGAAACCAGCCATGTCCTGGGCTGCAGCCACAGGAGTGTGGCAGCAGGAGAGGGAGGGGATTCTGCCTGCTGAGACCCGCCAGCTCTGGTGTCCCTGGCACAAGGACACGGAACTGTTGGAGCAAGTCCAGAGGAGGCCACAAAGTTGCAAAGGGGGCTGGAGCATCTCCCTGTGAGGACAGGCTGAGGGAGTTGGGGCTGTTCAGCCTGGAGCAGAGAAGGATGTGTGGAGACCTCAGAGCATGTCCCAGGACCCAAATGGCCTGGAGGGAAGCTGCAGAGGGACTCTTGGGTAGGAACTGCAGTGACAGGACAAGGAGCAATGGATATAAACGGAAGGAGGGAAAGTTTAGGTTAGATATTAGGCAGACGTTTTCCCTGTGAGGGTGGTGAGACACTGTCCCAGGGTGCCCAGGGAGGCTGTGGCTGCCCCAACCCTGGCAGTGTTCACAGCCAGGTTGGATGAGCCTTGAGCAACCTGCTCTGCTGGGAGGTGTCCCTGCCCAGGGCAGGGGTTGGGGCTGGATGATCTCTAAGGTCCATTCCAACCCCTAACATTCTGTGATTCCATGATAGTAGTAGAAGTTAGTCAGCAATTCCAGGAGTTCTTAGTTGAGCTAGTGTGGCTGTATATTACTTAGAAAACCAATCTAAACGTTAAATGTTTAACTTAGTTGGAAGAACATGACAAAAACTTGCAGAGTTTGCTCTTTCTAATGAGATTTCCTCTCTATATCCTGTCAAGTAATGTCCTTAAATGGTCCTGAATCCACTGAGCAATTTTAACATGCAGTTAACCAAGTCAGCTCTCAACCTTTGTTGGAAACTAACAGTGTGTGATCTTCCGTGGGCTGCTTTAAGTTCAGATATGAAATGACTGATCATTCTGCTCTTTGTTCAAAGTTTAGCCCCATTTTTTAGGTGTTAGGTCCCTATGCACAACTTAATCCATTTGAGTAGTGATGGCAACTGCCTTGCCCTGAAATGTAGTCCTGAGTGTGGTGTTCCTGGTGCTGCAGCAGCTGTGTGCAGGTTTCACCCCTGCTGGAGCAGACTGCAGCTCGCTAACGGGGGGTGGCTGCTGCCTTCAGAACTGCAGTGTATTAAAAACATTTTGAACAATGTCAAGTTAAAATCTGATAAGTAATTGTAAACAATTCTTATATCTTAAGATAAATAAAACAAGTGGCATCGTGGAAGCTTCCAGAATCTTGAACTTATATCAGTTCATTCAACTTTATAAAGACATCACCAGTCAAGCAGCAGGAGTTCTTGCACAGAGTGATACTTCTGAAGAAGCTGCTGAGAGTTTGGTGTCTGTGTCGTCGTGTCAGGCCAGCTTGTGGATGGGAAGGTATTTTGTTATACTTTAGCTTCTGACCACAGCTATAACTAAAGTGTTTTGGAAGTTGTGTTTGAAACCCAAACTACAAATACCTAATGGTCCAAACTGCTTGCTCTTGGCACTGCAGCCCTTGTGTCATCACAAGCATGACCAGCACACCTTCCCTTGTACCAGGGGAGCAGCAGTGCACTCGGGTCAAGGTCTGTGTAGCTTCAGAACAGGCAGTGAGCAGCTCTGATGTAACCATGGTGTGTGCTGAATCTCCTGAATAAGGAAATGGGAGGAAACGGAATCAGCTACAAATCTAGGGATTTTGACAGTGTTTGTTTAAACAGATTTTGTTATTGTTCCACTTAAACTTTCTCTTCCTCTTTTACATTTTGGCATGTGAAAGTTCCCATCTGTTACCACTAGAAACTCATCAATTATGGCAATAATTTAACTTGGAAGGCTGGAAAAATGTGAACTGTCTCATACATGTTGACGTTCTGCTTTGTTAACTAGAGGAAAAAACAAAAGACTGAGGTCAACACCTGCAATAACTTCACTTCAAACTGGAGTTTGTCACCCTTTCCCTCTGTTGCTACCAGCAATGCCTCACTGTTTGCTTTCTGAATTAGTTCAGAGTTCTAGCTCAGTTTGAAGGGAGGTAGAGTTAGGTTTGACCAGAAAAAGTAGCAAATGGTGCAGTTCTCTGTGTTAACCAGTGAAGAGCTGGTGCCCAGTGAACTGTCCTGTGTCTCAGCTGTCAGAACAAGGTCAGCCTTGCTGGCACTCCCACGTGGAGCCCACTGGCTTTTCAGTCAGTGCATTGCAGTGTGTTACCTCCGTTTAGTTTAATTTCCTGTGTCTGTTCTTTGGGAGTGAATAATCTGAAATTATTGGCTGGCCTAAGTTACTAAAATGTTTAAAGTAGTAAATTGTGGGCATGTTTGGGAAGGTCTGTTTTCCTGTGTTTATCTAAAAACACATGGTTCTACCAAAGCACACACGTCTGGAAATGGCCTTTTGCTTCAAACCAAACAAAACAGACCCCAGATACTCCTGCAAAACAGCTCCATGTATTGCTGAAGTCAGTGAGTAAGAGAAAAGGTTTCCTATGAGTTCCTTTTCGATTTCCAGGCTGAGGTGGGGCAGATGAACATCCTTCATGTTTGTAGATGTGCTTGCTTGAGGTGGTATTGGTGACAAGTAGTAACAAGAGCAACAGAGCATTCTTTGCTAATAGGATGCAGTTTGGTGAGCTTATGTCTTAGCCAAGTTTTGCAAGTCATGACCAACAGAGCATTCTTTGCTAATGTGATGCAGTTTGGTGAGCTTGTGTCTTAGCCAAGTTTTGCAAGTCATGAAGGAAAATACTGGCTAAAACACCTTCAGGTGTTTTACACCAGGGAAATCGTTTGGTTTTTTCCTGTGATAACCATCCATTTGCCTAAATATTTCTGACCTTGAGACCTCTCTAAGCTCTGCAGAGTTAGTTGTTGCTGTCTAAAAATAGCAAATGTTTATCTGTTTCATTCTTACTCTTATCTGAACCTCCTTCACTGGAATAATACCCCATTTCTCTACAACATCCACTTCCTGCTCCAAGCATTCCAAAATATGCAGAAGTGACTTGTGCTTTCTGATAATGAGGGGACAAATATTTCCTTAGTCTGCCACTCTTTTATTTTGCCGTTTCTTCGGAACTTAGTCCTCCGACTAAAGCTTTGTTTGCAGAAACTTTATAAATAGGGCTTGTCTAATTGCTTGTATCTCAAAAATTCAAATGCTGTCAAAGGTTCGTACTCAGAGTTGTGTGGGGGAGGGAAGTGAAAGGGTCCAAAGAACATAGTGTGAGCTGCTCAAAAGAGACTCACTGTATGTGAATCACCATCTGTAGAAAAATCTCCTGTCATTTGAAAGTAGTCTGTCAAAAAGCAAATTGAAAAGGAAACCCCAAGGACCTGCTGAAAAGGAAAACCAAAGCTTGTTGCCTGCTGTGCATTAGCTGACTGATCTGTACAGTCAGAAAATTGCTCTGTGCTTGCCCTGAGCAGGGGGGTCTGGGAGCCCCTGAGGGGACTGTGGTTCTCTGGGCCTCAGGTCACAGAGGGATCCCCAGATCAGTGGTTTTGGTAAACCCACACATTTCATAACTCTTACTTGGCTGTTTTGGAAGTGAGCCATGACTAAAATGAGGGAGCTTTACATGTCTGGTTAGGCCAGTGAAAGCTGAGGATCCTCTGCAGCTTTTCACACTTGAGAAGTCTCGATAATGCAAATATTTGAGATATCTGAGGTGTATTTGTTAGGAATTTAGATACAGATATCTATTATTTGGGAAAAAAAAGACACAAACCAACAATGTCTGTCTCGGGGAAGGAATTTCATATATGTATTATTTGGGAAAAAAAAGATACAAACCAACAATGTCTGTCTCGGGGAATGATCTAATTGTGAAACTTCCCTGCCAGCAGGAGCAGCTTGGGGCTTAGGCAGAGCTGTGGGAGCAATCCCCTGGGGTGTCTGGCCAGCCAAACCAGCCTCTGCAGCCTAACTGGGCAACTTGGGCTCCTGACCTTTGGAATTATATATGTATTATTTGGGAAAAAAAAGATACAAACCAACAATGTCTGTCTCGGGGAATGATCTAATTGTGAAACTTCCCTGCCAGCAGGAGCAGCTTGGGGCTTAGGCAGAGCTGTGGGAGCAATCCCCTGGGGTGTCTGGCCAGCCAAACCAGCCTCTGCAGCCTAACTGGGCAACTTGGGCTCCTGACCTTTGGAATTAGGCACTGCAGTACTGATCCTCTTGCTTGCATGTCTTTGTCCAGGGTCTGGGCCAGCACACAGAAACCTGGCAGGGTTTGTTACAAACTGGTTTGGCCTGGGCTCTGGGAAGGGCAGGGCAGGTTCTCCTGCCCGTCGTGTGCAGTGTTTCTGTTCCTTTGCCCAGTGCTGTGTGACAGTTACAGCTCCTCACACTTCCTTGTTGATAGGACAGAGGATTTGCAGCACCCTTGGCAACACTCAGAGCAGCTGACACACCAAAAAGCACATTCTGGCTCAGTTTGTTGGCTGGTGCTGCTGCTGGTGGTGTGAGCTGTGCCAGCAGCGCAGTCAGAGCACTGCAGGTGCTCCTCCCTGTCCCTCAGGGGCTGTTGTGAAAAATGTGGTAACTAGTGGAGTTACTAGGGCAGCAGTGCAAAGCAGCTGGCAGAAAATGTTGTCTTCTCCCCTGCAGGGTGAAGCAGCTGACAGATGAGGAGGAATGCTGCATCTGCATGGACGGACGCGCTGATTTAATCCTGCCCTGTGCTCACAGCTTCTGCCAGAAGTGCATTGATAAATGGTAATGCAGCCAGGAGGGTCCTTGTTCTGCAGCGTGTGCTGGGTACCTGGCACGTTTGGTTGGCTCTGGCAGGTTCCTTAGTTCCCATGTCATATCTGCACGCAGAGTCGTTGGCCAGTCTTGCCCACAAAGACAAATGTTTTTACTCAAAGGAGAAGGTGGTTTTATCCAGTTAACCGCGTCGCTCTTGGCGTTCCGCTGGGTTGGTGTGGGGCCTGTCTGTGTGTCTGGGGCTCTCTGGGCTCTGTCTGTCCCTCAGGAGGCCGTGGGTGCACAGCTCTGATTTCTGCCCCGCAGGAGCGATCGCCACCGGAGCTGTCCCGTGTGCCGGCGGCAGGTGACCGGCGCCGGGGACTCGTGGGTGGTGTCGGACGCTCCCACGGAGGATGACATTGCTACTTACATCCTCAACATGGTGGACGAGGCAGGGCAGCCCCACAGGCCCTGACACTGCCCAGCAGCTGAGCACAGCAGAAGCACTTGAACGTCTGGTTTTACCTCCTGTTGCTGTTCTTCCACCGTCTGTCTCACTCCTCCTCTGGCTGCTGTGAACCTCCACTGCTCCCCTCAGGCACAGGGTACCTGGACAAGTCTCTGTGTGTGCAGTCTGAATTAGGAAACTGTACTCCCAGTGCACTCTCTGATCATTAACAAAGTTTATTTTAACAGCTTTTGATATTAACAGTAAAGCTGCTAGATGAAATTTGTAACAGCACAACTGCAACTGCTGACTGCTGTCTGACATCCCAGTGTACTGCTGGAGGTGAACTGTGTCAGAGCTTCACCTCAGCTCTTACCCTGAAGAGTCCCTGGCAGGTTCACAAGGTTAGCACTAGTGATTATTAATTTGAAATTTTGCTGCTGAAACTTGCAGATGTCCCACTGCCTGTTCTTCAGTGGTCAGTTATTGCTGCTCTTAGTGTTTACAGATACTTATTTCTCATCTACTATGACTTTTAGCATCAGTTATTTTAAATCCGTTTTGGAGAGTGTAGGCAGCTCTGTAAATGTATTTGTGCACTTCCCTTTAGTCTTCTGACAAGACTTATCTCTTAGAATATTTTTTTAAATATGATAGCATAGTCTTATTAGCTTGGAAACATTTAACATTTTCATACACAATCCTAGAAACAGTAAATCAGTTTCTCTGTGGTTTTTGGTAAAGAACAGCCAAAATTATTTCCAAGCAGTGGCATGTCTGAGGAGAATGCCTTCATTTGAAGTAGCAGTTAGGTGTAGTTTGGTCTGATGCTGTGGTTTTATCTGCCCCTCTTGAGTTTTCAAAGTGATGACAGCAGTTATAGGACACACAAAGCATTAGGTGATAATCTAGCTAAGGGTGCTGTGCTTTATATCTACAAGTGCAATATGCTTTTATGTAGCAGAGAAACTTCTACTCTCCCACTGCTGTTGCTTGCAGTGAGATGTGCATGTGGCAGCTTGGGGAAAGGGATGTCACAGTGGAGTGGGACAGGGTTGTGTGTAGCAGAAGAAGTCTGGAGGGCTGAGGGTAGGCAGTGTAAAACTGTGAGTGCTGGGGAGCCCCATCCTAAGCCTCTCTTGCTTAAATAGTGCTCTGGAAATGAGCTGCTAGTATAGTGAATTGATGAGTGAATGTTTTAATCTATGTTAACAAATACTACTTTTCCCCTCTCAATAAGCTCAAGTTAGAATATTCCAGGGTAGCATTTGAGGGAGTATCAGCATAAACCTTGCTTGCACCAAGGCTGCATTTTCCCTCTCTGGTTAGAAGTCAGTGATGCCACGAGGCTAAGGCCTTTAGTGGCAGGCTCTGAGCTAAGGGGCTCGTGCACAGGTGGAGATGCAGGTCCAGGCTGTTCTGGACTGGCTGGGACAGAAGGACATTGCAGACCAGTCGTGAGAACTTCATTGCGCTGCAGCTGGTTGAGGAAGGTGCCCAGCACACAGCCCCTGGCAGCCTGGAGTGTGGCACAGCTCTCACGTGTCGTGTCGACTTTGGGGCAGGGGAGCAACATGTTCTTCTGGTGCCTGGCTGGAAGGCAGGATGGCTCAGAGTGGAAATCTGCATCTAGCTACTGAAAAATGCGATGGGAACCCTTTTCTTTGCCCTCTGTTGAGCCATGGATAGCAATGGGATGTTCTTTGGCAGAGTGGAGTGTCTGGTGGCACAGAGGCAGGTGCTGCTGGTGTGAGTGATCTGGGGTTTTCCACTAAGATGTTTGCAAATGCTCCCAACCACTCACCAGTTTCTTTTGCTTTTCGAGCTTGCATTAGTCCATGTTCAGAACTTTAAATAACCTTTGAATTTTTTAAACTTTTTATATCACTGGAACCGAAAGAGCATCTAAATTAAAGCTTCAAGCTAACTTTATTTTTCAAGTGTTTCAGGAATTATACTTCTGAGATTTTATAAGTTGACTTTCTGCTGAGAACTTACATGAACTTGGTAAAATGTAATTTTGTAATGATGCAAACAGGTTGTTAATTGCAGCATAATGACACTTGCAATTACAAGATAAACTAATGCAAAAACTATTTAAATAGTGAACAAGTAAACTTTATATTCTGTACAGCTTTTTTAATTGAGTTGCTGTAATTGACACTGCTGTGATGTAGGTACTGTAACGTGTGCCTTGTCAAACACATGTACTGTATGTTGGGGGGTGATAGGTCCATTGGCACTGAAACACCAGGAGCTGGTTGGCATTACTTGGGCTGGAGTGCAGCGTGGGGGAAAGGAATCCCAGTGCAGGGACCTGGCAAATGTGAATTGCTGTGTCAGTGAAGCATTGGATCCAACTGGACTTCCTTGTGTTAAGTGAACGTTTCTTACAGGTTTAATGTGAAATTGTAATTTAAACAGTAGAGATCGTATTAATAGCTAAGGACATTCCACTCTATTAAACTTCGTGTATGAATTGTGCAATAAAGTTACTTTGGAAGAAATGTCAGAGTTCTTTGAAGCCTAAGGAGCCTCTTGGCTTTAATAGCACAGCTCTCTGAAGACTGAATTTTGACATGAATGGCATTGTGCCCGTGGTGCATTGGGTGGCTGGAATTGTTCCAGGCTGAGCCAGAGCTCCCTGAGACTGGGGAGGGATGTTAACAAGGTGGCTCAGTGCAGCTCTGCAAAAATACTCACTCTGAGTCTTCTTCTCAGTACACAAGTGAATTGGAAAGTTTATTGAGGGAAAGGACTTTGGTTTTGGTTTCCAGAGAAGTGTGATATACTTTTTCCCCGAGTTATTTCATTATGTTTCTGACTGTATTTTAAAGCTTAACAATGCCAAGGTTTTGAAGATTTTTTTTCTCCTCTGTTTTTCCCAGTTTTTAAATAAGAATTGATGTGTGTAATTACTGTCTGGTTACTTGGCTTCTCTGTTTGGCTCTTTGGAAGCCAAGTGAGAAATGGAAGCCCAGGAGAGTCCAAGGGCAGTTCCCAGCTGGCAGGCACACCAGGAGGTAGGTGCACTTGAGCCATTAGCAGTTGCTCATGTTTACCAGGTTTCAAGTTTAGGCACCATATCAGTGCCAGGTGCATGGTTCTGTGTTTGGTGGGAGAGGGTATGGCTAACTCCATCTCTCTGCTTTACAGAGGCTGCTGCAGGTTTTCTAACCCATACTCGTTCTGTGCTGGGAACCAGGGCAGGCAGTGAGAGCTCTGTGCTGCAGGTTTGAGCTGAACTGCCAAATTACACCCCTGTAGAGCTGATGTGCCAAATGCATTATTTTTAGAAGGCACATGCTGGCTCTGGTTCTCTGTGCTTTGAGCCCTGGAAGAGGCTCAGGGAGCCTGAAAGGTGCCTGATGGGAGTAGGAGCTGCATGTTAACCTGCCTGGCCTTAACCCCTGACACTGCAGACACATCATGCTTAGTCTGTGTGCACTGCACATGCTCTGGAATGGGAGTGAGTGCACTGAGACCACCATTACATTACATTAGGTTTTTGCTTTTCTGTGTGAAGTCATGCTTGAGGAAACCTTACCACTCACCTGGTTCACGTGGGTGAATGGACTTCTGCTTGGTTATGAGTCTGTCGAAAACTGGTCATTTCAAAACTGCATTTTAATTGTCATTTTTTCAGAGCTTTGGGTCAAGGCCTAGAATGTCTCCCATGGCAATGTCCTGGAAAGACTGAACAGCCTTTCCCTGTGGCTCTGCCACTGGAATGAGCCTGAGTGGGACCCTGTGCTCTTCCAGGGCCTGCGGTGTGTGAGCACTGGGTTTGCAGGGAATGCTGCACCCCGAGGGATGGCACAGCACATTCTGCTTCTGTCTGAGTTGTCAATGTGTTAATTAACTAGCAGGTTTGCTTCTATTTTGCTTCCCTCACTGACCTATCACATTCAAATACCAAACACTGGGCATGGGGTTTGGAGGTCTAATAGTAAAAAAATCAGCAGTTTTGTGAACTTGGCTAGAGCTTTGCAGAGTGTGTGACTGCTGGAATGAAGAGATAATGAAATGAAACTCTTCCTGGGCTCAAAGTGCTGTTTAAGGGCTCTCCTGGAATTTGTACGTGGAAGAAGGTGGAGGTTTGGTACAAGTCTGTGCTTCCAGTTAGTTTTCACTAATGCTGCATTGCTTTAATTCAGCTAAGCTTTTAGCCTCTCCTAAATACTGTGTACAATCTTCTCTCTCCAGTGTTCATGCTGTGGGAGGTCTTTATTTTGGTTTAGTCTTCTGTATTGCTAGCACTTTAAGTGCATAGGGTTTTAGTTCTACTTAAATGTGGAGATTCTGTGGAGCTACAGTTTTCTTGAGATAGACACACAAAAATCATAACCATATTTTACAATTCATTTATTAGTGTAATGCTTAATGCTTCCACAAGAGGCAAAAGATAAACATCATTTAACCCAGGCACAGGAAAAAAACCAAAACAGACACCTTTTCAGACTTGGGTTTTAACTAGGCAAAGAGAACAGAGGTTTAGCCACACATAACTATGATCTGAGACAATAAGGTGGGTCTGGGGTAAGAGAAAAAAAAAGGATTAGCCAGTGGCAGAGCAAATGCCTTAAGTTTGCTAAAGGAACAGAATGGAAAAGGATCACTAGACATTGTTCAGGTTGTAAACATAACTATAATTAAACGTTTCAGCTGAAAGCATAAAATGCTCTGAGCCAACAGATGTAAGGAGGTCAATAATGTTTGAACCTACCACCAAAAAAATGATGAGAAAATAGGACATTGTTCCATTCTGAAGCAACACTTACCCAAGCACCACCTTGCAGTCCCTTTCTGTGTGGGCAGAACCAGGTTGGGGAGTGAACTGCCCTGGCCTGGCCTGGCCTGGCCTGCCCCATTCCAGCCTGAGCCCACTGGGCTCCTCTGAGCAGCCTCACATTAGCACAACAGTGCAACTTCTTTAAAAAAAAGGTGAAATTTAAGAACCAAACTTGGCTATCAATAACCTTTGCCTAATTAAACAATTACCAGACAAGATGTAGTAGTGGACATTTAAAAGGATGTCGGTTTGCTTCCCCAAACAGAATACTATGACCCCAATTTGTCCTTCAAAGCAGCACACAAGGGAGCACAGAAAGCAGAAGTTGTGGTCTTGGCCACTTGTGTGTTACTGTGGTCATTGTGGTCAAAGTCCTGACGACTGTCCAGTGACAGAACATTCAAATCCAGTTTTGTTTTCTCTAATAGAACTATAGCCCTATTAGAACCTGGTGTGTCTGAGGTAAGAAGAGCTGAAAAGGAATTAAACACACACACACTTGGTATCATACTAAGAAATCTAAGAAATGTAGGTGACAACAGAAGCAGCACTAAGTGATCTCCAGGTGGCCCAACCCAAGGAAGCAAAGTTTGGCAGATGGAAGTGCTTACAACTGACATTCTTCATACCAAGCTTGGTGCTTGTTTAGCCTGGATGCAGATGCTTTTCTCAAATAAATAATAGTATGTCAATTACAATTTATTAGGAAGTTCTACTAATGAAAACTTTGCATTGTATGCAGCTAAAATGCTTGAACCTCTTTATTCAGACTTCATCCTAAGGAAAGTACATTCACCAATCCTGAGAACATGTTCTGTGAGCGGCAAACATTTCTCTCAGTGAGGCCAACAGGCACTGCCAACAACTGGGAACAGTTTTGTGCTCATCCAGCTGAGCAGAGTGACACAGCCTCAGGTGAGCTCAGCTGCACAAGAACACAAAACCAGCACTACCTGCACCATGCAGACATTATCTGGGGCACTGCAGAGCTGAAGTCAAGTCTCCCACCAGCTCTGCTGCCATGTCTTGGGCAAAGAACATTGCAACCACTGCAGCTCCCCAGGCATGGCACTGCCTGACTTGGAGGTGACTATGGCCAGAACTCCTGGCAGACAGCCTCACCTCCAGCTGCTGCCCCAGGGGCCTCAGGCCTCACCCTCCTGGGGCTCCTACAGGGCTGCACAGCTACAGGAGGTGAGGAGGAACTCCTCCTTCCCTTACCTCGGTGCCATTCCCCTGCCATCGCCAGTCAGGACAGCAGGTACATTAAGGAGTGTCCTTGCAGGTGTCACTTTCAACTGGCACAGCCCGAGAAGAGAGTGTCCAACACATACATACATGTATGTCATTAACGAGTCATGTGGCACTGGCAGTGCCAGCACTGCCCCTGCTGACTGCATTTACAAGGGAAAGTGAGACCTGAGCAGCCCTGGCAGGGAAGGAGGCAGGTGCTCAAGGCCAGGGGCAGGGCCTGGCCGAGGCAATGCCAGTGGCAGGAGATGCCCAGTGCAGCAGAACAGGCAGGGGCTGTGCCCCGTCAGCTGTGACTGGAGACTATTCCTCACTTGCTTTTTATGCATTGCTTCCCAGTGCCTGTCCTGGGAGTCTGAGCTCCCTGGGGCTGTCCTGGGTATCCAGGGCTCTAACCATGGGCTCAGCTCCTCCCTGAGGGCCACAGCCTTGGCGCTGAGCAGTGTGACTAAGGCACCAACAGCCTCTGCTGCCCCTGGCTGCAGTGACACTGCAGCTTCTACAACACAGAGACAGTCGTGAGTACCCCAGTCCCTTGTGAACGGGCAGTACTGGGTGTCGATCAGGATCAGCTGGAGGGAGACTGACAGTGCTGACTGTTCAGTGTATTGCACTGGCCACTCCATCACTAACAGACAGTTCGACACCACGTGAGTTGAAATGGCAGATTCCAAGTGAGCTCACTTCTGTGTAAACAGACAGCTTGACTTCCCAGTCAACTCTGATCCACTAACATACAGACTAAAACAAATGTGTAAAAATATGTCAGAAGTAGGACCAGAACCCAGGTCTGGCCTTTCTACCACTGAGTCATAAGAACACTTCCTTTGTTCAAGTAAAAAATTTCTCTTTACATGCAACCAAAATTATCTGCATAAACTTCTAAGTCTCTTGAACTGGCATAGCCACATACTCCCATTACAAAGCAATAAAAAAAGTGTTCTCAACTCTCAAGGCAAAATTCTGATGATATAGTTAGACTCATTACAGTGTACAACAGTGATGACTGACATTTTCTACTGGCTGGATTAAAAAGCACTGGCCTGCTGTTCCCACTGACACCCTGTGGTGGGAAGGAGCTGTGCATTGCAGAGACTACATAATTTGGTTTTTCTTGTTTTCCAGTATAACTGCTAAAACATTGGGTAAAAACCTGTCAGAACACTCTCCAGAGCGACAGGACTGCACCCCATACAAACTGAACAAATAAAGGGCTCAGCTTAGCAGTGCTGAATGCCACGACTGGGACTGAGCAGCAGGACAAACCAGGGGTGTGTGTGCTGGCAGCATCTGCAGGACCCTCAGGTGCACATCACAGAGGCTCTGTGGGTGCTCTGGTGTCCCTACCTACAACATAGGGCACAGTTCAGACAGTATGAAACAAATAGGACATGATTCTGAGTTCCCACGTAGTATTTACAGCAATCTTACAAAGCCTAATGTGTGTAGAAACGAAAATCTTTGCAATGAGAACAATGCAGTAAGAGATGACAGCAGAAGCTGTTTACCTTCCACAGACTCTTTCTGTCTGTCCTGCTCAGTTATGCCTCGGCAGCATCACAGATGATCTGGTGTTAACTGGCGTCGCATCCTGCTCAGGAGTGAGCTGTTGTGGTTTCTCTGAGCTCCTAACTACTTGGCCAGAGTGGAGATGTCTGTCCTCATGGCATCAGCCAGGAAGCTGAGCTCGTTGCACAGGGTCTCGTACCTGAAGGCCATTCGGATCTGCGCCACGTTCGTCTTACGGATGTCATTGCCCTCGGGCCCTTCCTTGCAGTAATTCACCCCTAGGAATTTCTGCTTCTCCTGTGCAAGGGGTAAAGGGAAAAGGGAGGAAGTCAGTTCAACTGCTTTGGTTCACTGCAGAAACGAGTGTTTGGTAGCTGAATGCCTCCATACAAGTGAGAAGAGCAGCTTCAACCAGCTGCCACTGGCCTCTGCCCCAGGCTCAGCCAGGTGGGATTTAAGGCCAAAGTCTACACATCTGTTCTCTCAGCAGGGCACTCAGTCTGCCTTGCTAAAACCTTCTGTGTTTGTGTTCAGCCTCCACTGCTGCATCTTTCATGCAAGAGGTCAAAACGAGGCTTAGGTTTCTTTTTTTAGTTTAATGTTGCACAGAAGGAAAATGCAAACCTGGCACTAGGGAATACTGGAAGAAAACAGAAAGTGCTCACAAAGCCCCTTCACACATCAGCTCCTCGAGGGGAATGCTCAGAAGCAATGCCAAAGAGAGGATGCTCTAGACTAAGTCCTAGAGAAAGCCTTGGCTGAATTTTAGAGCCAAAAGGAAAGTTAATCTAATGTGACTGCCTAGCTAAACCAGAGTATTTTATGTAGTACTCCCTTCTAAGCACAAATTTGTCTTGTTTGTGACAGGCAGTTTGGTTTTACTCTATGCAAGATGTATTATATTAAATTACCAGCTCAGGGATCTCACCCAAATGATTAGAGGCTTAGAACTGGGGGCAGAGCTGAGTACAAACAGGCAGTTGGTCTCTGCACATTCTGAGCCTTCCTAAACAAAGCTTAATGGGGAAAAGTAACATTAACACATTAGCTGCAGTGTAGGCCTGGTAACTGGTGAGTATCTGTGGCGAAGAGGACAGGGATGTGCACAAACACCTCAGTGCTCAGACTGTTGGTGTAATATTCCCAGAAAGCCTCTGCAGGCAGGGTTACCTTGTCTGACAGCCCACTCTGCAGCACACTGTTCCTGGCAATTTCACACAAGTCACAGGTACTCAGCTTCCACACCTGGGCTGCAATAGCATATTCCTCCATGAGAGCTTCCTGTAGCACCAAAGAACATTTGGTATTAAATGGTATGTGAGGTATAAACGGGGACATGTACTCATTACTAATCGAGGAATTTATACATGATCTTTAGACAGCTGTGAAAGATTAGAAGTCTAAAACTTCACAATCTCTCCAAACAGAATTGTTTGCTTCAAATTTCCCCAGGACTGCTGTTAAATAATGGATAGGCACCAGGTATCCAGTTATCTCAGTGGAGAAATTGCAGCCTGCAGTGCAGATCCTGGGAGGCATTTCCTAGGCAGTGGGAGTGAGATGCCAGGGTCCACAAACACCCTGGAGGGCCAGTGTAAATCCTCTGGGGCTGCCAGGGACAGCCAGCAGGGCAATCCCTCCGGCCTGGCTGCGGCACCCGGGGCAGGGCCCAGAGCCAGCCAGGCCAGCACACCCCGCTCGGCCTGCCCGGGACAGAGCTGGGCACGGTGCCCCCGAGGCAGCAGGGCAGGCCTGGGCTCTCTGTCCTGCCAGGACACCCCCGGCAAGAATCAATCTCAGCTCACTGAGTACACGGCTCAGATGTCATCGTGAGGTTCCACAGGGTGTGTTTGTAATGTACTTCCCCGGATTTATTAGTAAGGAAACTGGACTTTCCTGGCACTCTAGAGGATTGTTTATGAAGGTTCAAACCTCCCTTCAGCCTCATCCTTCATTCTATACTTCAACAGCCAACACTGGAGAGGCAAGTGTACAAAAGAAACATCATTAGGAAATCAGCATTTCCCTCTGAAGCCTAACAGTGAGCAGCAGAGTGAGAATGAGAGAGAAGAATGAACGAAGAGACTGGAAGACATGACACCATATCCTCAGCAATGCAGTCAAACAGCTTTCAGGCCATTCTGGAGCTGTGTGGTCCTGTTGCCAGCTCCAAAGGCAATGCTTTCTGCAGGCCTCACCTTCGTGTAGTGGAACTGCATGGGATCATCTGTGGAGAGAGACACGTGCAGGCCCTTGTGCAGAAACTCCCGCAGGGGATTCTTGGAGTACTCCAAGAAAAGGCTGTTGTTGCTAAGTGGAGACATAGCAATGGGTATTTGTGCAAGGTAATAGAGGTACTGGAGGACAGGACTCTGCAAAACAAAGCACAGTCAGCATTTAACAGTACTTATGGGAGAAGGAAAGAAAGACTTCCCTTGGATAAAATAGAGACAGCACAACAGAGGGAGGACTGAGATCAAAAGAACTAGGTTGACATTAAACCCTGACTTATTTAGAACATATTTAAAAGTCTGAATTCTAAGTGTTGTTGATCTTTTAAAAATTAATTTACATTCCTCAATATATATGTCACCTCTTTAAAACCAAGGTGACTAACATCACAGCAGATTGGTGAGTGTGTGGGACCCTCCCCAGAGCTCAAAGTCACAGCTAACAGAGGTGCAAGAACTGTTATTTGTTATTTTCAAAGCTACAGTCCAATAGGTAAGTTTTAGGAACAGTTTTGGTTTATTAGAACTCATGTGTCCTTTTTGTACATAATTCAAATAACCTGTGATCACCTCATCTTTATTGCTGCTTTGCCTTAACCAACCTGTGAACCTGACAAGTGCCTTTATTACTGTTGTCATTATTAACCTGCTGTGCCAGTTATCCCACCAGGCCACGCAGGAGAGTGAAGAGGAGAAAGCTTTGGTCACACACAGTCTTAGCACTGCTCTGTCTGGGCCTAATTTTAGGTACTACTAGTTGGGAACATAACACTAGACATGATTTCCTTGGATATATTGAAAAATACAGAGAATTTTCCAGCATTGACCAAAGAAATCCAGCTTACAAGGGAACTCTACTGCCATGTTTGCAGAAACTCAGTGCAAGTCTGCCACCCACTGACCAGCTGCTTTAGCTATGCAGCAGTGCCCTGCAGGTGAGCTGAGTGATGGGTTTAACTAATACACCAGGAATGATGACAATTCTTCTGTCCTAACAACTGAGTCCTGTCTCAAATATTGCTGCTATACAGCTGTGTTAAATCTCTTGATCAAAATCATCAATCCCTAATGAACTTCTGGATTGGACCCTGAAGTACAGAAATGCTAGTGAGGCAAAGTGACCTTTGTCCCTGTACAGAAAAACTAGGCCTTTCCTGAAGTTCTAGTGGGATCTACACCAGGGAGTAGTAACAAGTCTAAGCCAGTCTTCATTTTTTTTCTGTGTAACTTTAGCTCTGCTTGGAGTAACCAAAAGCAGGTGCTGCCAAGTCCCTGACACACCTGACCAGCTGATCTTCCCTACAAAGCACTGCTTTACAGAGAACAAGCTCTCTTTGTGCAGATAAACTGAAAGATCAGTGCAGCTTATTTATTTAATCAAATCATAAACTAGTTTGGTTTGGAAAGGATCACGAAGATCACCTGGTTGCAATCCCCTGCCACGGGCAGGGACACCTAGCCCAGGCTGCTGCAAGCCCCATCCACTGCCAGGGCTGGGGAGCCACAGCTTCTCTCAGCACCCTCACAGTAAAGGATTCCTTCCCAATAGCTGAGCTAACCCTGTCCTCTGTCAGTCACCCGTGTCCTGTCACTACCTGACCTTGCCAAAAAGGTCCCTCTCCAGCCCTCTTAGGGCCCCATGAGGTACTAGAAGGTGCTACAAGGTCTCCCCTGAAGTTTTCCAGGCCGAATAACCCCAACTCCCTCAGCCTCTCCTCACAGGAGAGGTGCCCCAGTCCTCTGAGCAGCTCCAGAGCCCTCTCAAATCACCCCAACAGTGCACATCTCTCCTCGTCAGGGGCCCCAGAGCCCCCAGCAGTACTCCAGGTGGAGTTTCTGCTCAAACTGAAGAGTCACTTCTGCCTTGCTAAGGAAGTTAATTAATGGACAGCCCAAAATTAGTTTGGGGCAGTCCAGATGAAGTCAGTTTGGTGACTGCTCTTTGGACCAGTGCCTGATGTCTAAGCACACAGCACTAGTTTAGGGGAGCAAACAGGCAGTACCTTCTTGAGGAGCAACCCATGAGAGATGTTGTCTGCTGTCAGGAAGGCTGAGACGAGGTGAGTGATAGAACCAGCTTCTCCACAGTGAGGGCGAAACAGGAAAGTACACATGCCTCGTTCCCTGGGGAGAGTAAAAGCAAGTCCCACTAAGGAAAAAATAATGCAGTTGAACTGAAGCAAACTGTGGACACAAAGCTCCCAGAAAGAAATGGAAGCACATTGCCAAGAGTTAGCTAACACTGCCTAGTGATGAGAAGCTGCCACCTCACCTGGTTAAGTGTGGCATAAACCCTCAGAAGTGCAGAGACGAGCTAGGAGTGTTTGTCACTGCACTGGACTTCACACTGTAATTTCTAGAATTAGGTCAGCATCTATATTAAAAGTGACATTGAGTTCTAGGCTACAATGGACCTTACTATTCAGTGCAGACAAATGTCCCTTAAGTATCTGGAGATGTTCAAAACAAAGAATTTCAAGCAGAGTGCTAGAGCATAAGGCAGTTCTGGGACGGAGCAGTTTCTCCTGCAAGGGGATGTGAGGATGTAATCCATCCTCACTAACACTACCACAGGTATGGAACAGCCTAGGCATGGACTGGCTGTGTTGACTCAAGCACTCAGTGAACGGCTGTACTGACTCATTCATTAACTGTGTCATTATCTCACAGAGCTGCAAAGAATATTTAGTGATTATCTGGGGGGATTTTAAAACAGTACTTGAAATGATCTTGAGGTAAAAAAGAAATGTGCAAGTTCTGACAGAATCTGTCTTTGGAACAGAAAAAACATGCAGACTACAGCCAGTGTGAAGGAAGTCAGGAGACAGGGATGGCTTAGATATCTGCTGTGGTGTGTCCTCAGCTACAGAACCAAACCCAGCAGCTAGGCCTGTCTGTTCCTGCCACAAGGTAACAAAGTGGGTGTGCTTATTCTTTGACTCGGTAGGACGGTACAGAAAGAAATGCTTGAAGTAGCAGTGGGAGAGAAGTAGTAACATTTTGAATGGTAACTTGGACAAAATGTTAGAATGACAAACCTGTGAACCTTCTGTAAGAAAATCCCAAACTGTTAAGCAATGCAAGAAACAAAAATGCACACAAATGTCAAACCCAGATATCAATCTGATGCCTTTACACTGCTTGAATATTTCCTTTGAATTAATTTTGCAGTTAGTGCTTTCAAAATAACTCACGTGCTCCTCTTTAGAACAATTCAAATCACAGAATCACAATTTTAGGGGTTGGAATGGACCCTACAGAACGTAACAGCCCTTTCTTCAGCAGATGTGTGGTCTGGACACAGCTTAGTCTGAGACCAAGACACTGATTTTCTGGAAGCTTGTGAGGGAGAAGAATGCCTACTTACCTCCTAAGGTTGTTCAGCAACATGATGTTCACATACATATAATACAAGTAATAGCTATAGGGGGGATTCTTCTCACTGGTCCAGAGGTCAGGGTTAAGGCTCTTGTCAGAGAACATATGGCCACTGTGCTTGGATTCATCATCAACACTGTCAAAGCCAGTCACCTGGGGGGCAGAGACCACAGAAATCAGGTTTCCAAGAAGCAAACTCCAATGTCACCTATCCTTGCTTCAGGACCTGCTTGAACAAAGCCTCCAGGCCCTCTTCCTTCATCTCCCTCCCTGTGCTAGTCCTGCTGCTCTGCCCTCCCCACACCATGCAGACAGCAGGA